GTTCTGGGCTTTGGGTAAGAAACTCACACGCATTTAAAAAAAATAGTATTTGGTCAGCTGACAGGGTTGTGAGCAAAAGCAACTAATAAAACACTAGATTTCGTAAAATAATCAAGAGGAAGCAAATTGTATGGGGGGAGCCCGGCTGATGACTGCAGAACCCTGAGATAAATGAGCCATAGAGGCGAGAATTCGGAGACTGCTGGTCTCTGGGAGTACAGAGGTATCTGAATGCTGCCATTGTTTTTCTGATTTGCACTGGACCATGAGATTTTCTTGAGAGATCATATTAATAAATTGCCTTGATAATTGCAAAAAAGAGAAATAATTGCCAATCTAATATCATGAGGATTTCCCCGTGTTTCTTCTAAGAGTTTTATAGTTTTACCTCTTACAGTTAGGTTTTAGATCCACTTTGAGTTCATTTTTGTACATAAAGTTTGAAACTCACCTGGATGCTGCTTCTTTTTTTTTTTCCCTTAGGGTAAAGTTCAACCTCATCATTTCATGTGTATATTCGGTTTTCTCATTTGCCGAACAGACTTTCCCTCATTCAGCTTTCTTTCATTTAGTGTCCATAGCTCTTAACATTCATTTACTTTGAACCAATCAGTATTTTTATGTTTAAAATATATTTCTTATAGATAACAAATATTTGGGGTTTTATTTTTTTTAAGATTTTTATTTATTTAATTTTTAGAAAGAGGGAAGGGAGGGAGAAAGAGAAGGAGAGAAGCATCAGTGTGTGGTTGCCTCTTGTGTGCCCCCTACTGGGGACCTGGCCCACAACCCAGGCATGTGTCCTGATTGGGAATGGAACCAGTGACCCTTTGATTCCCAGGCCAGCACTCAATCCACTGAGCCGCATCAGCCAGGGAAAATACTTGTTTTTTTCTTTATCCAGTCTGACAGTCTTTGCCTTTTAATTCAGGTGTTTATATTAGAAGCTGGCAAAATTTTTCTGCAAAGGAACAGAGAGTCAATATTTTAGGCTTTGCAAGCCACCCAGCTTCTGTGGAACACTCAGCTCCTCCACTGCAGTGAGGAAGCCGTGGACCACACATAAATGAATGGGTGTGCCTGTGTTCCAGTAGAACTTTTTTTACCTTAAAACAACTATTATAGCCCTGGCCAGTGTGGTTGGAGTGTCATACTGTAACCAAAAGTTGCAGGTTTGATTCCCTCGTTGGGGTGAGCACTGGAGGCAACCAAATGACACTTCTCTCTCGTGTTGATGTTTCTCTCTCTCCCTTCCTCTCTCTCTAGAAATACAATTTTAAAAAGTCCTTGGGTGAGGATTTAAAAAGACAAACAAACTATTTCATCATTTTTCACAATTGAAAAGTTGATTGAAACTCACCTGGATGCTTCTTCATTTTTTTTGTTTTTTCTTATTTTTCTTTTTCTAAAATTGAGATATAATTGATATATAACATTATATTAGTGTCATATGTATACATAATAATTTGATTCCAATCAAAACTACTGTAGAGCCCTGGCTGGTGTAGCTCAGTGGATTGAGCACGGGCCTGCGAACCAGACAATCGCGGTTCGATTCCCAGTCAGGGCACATGCCGGGGTTGCAGGCCAGTTCCCTGCAGGCCACTTCCCAGCAGGGGATGCATGAAAGGCAACCATACATTGATGTTTCTCTCCCTCTCTCCTTCCCTTCCCCTCTAAAGATAAATAAATAAAATTAAAAAAAAATACTGTAGAAAAAGAGACTGCAGGCTAGATCTGAGCTGAGAGCCATAATTTATGCCCCTGGTTTAGATGGTTTATATTTAACTATTGATATGGTTTCATTGAATCGGAACATCTTGCTTTTCATTTTCTATTTGTCCTATTCAGTCTTTATTCTTTTTTCCCCTGCCTTCTTTGGAATAACTGAGTATTTCTATTAACCCATTTTATCTCCACTATTGGCTCATTAGTTATGACTCCTTAAACAGGTTGCTCTAGGGTTTATAATATACATACTAAATGTATTATAGTCTACCTTGAAATAATTTCCCACTCCCTATATGGTCTCAGAACCTCAGAACAGTGCACCTCCATTTCCACTCCTCACCTTTGCACTCCTGTCGTCAGGCATTTTAATTCTATATGGTATAAATTCCATAATACAGTATTACTGTTTGTAGTGACACAGTAAATTTACTTTTAAAGACAATAAAAATTTTTAAAAAGTGTCTTTTATATTTGCCATCACTTTATCATTTCCATTGCTCTTCATTTGTATAAGTCAAAACTTCCCCTAGTATCATACTTTTTCTGCTGAAGAACTTCCTTTAACATTCTGTGTAATATGGGTTTATTGGCAAGGAATTCCTCCCATTTTTGTTTGTCTGAAAAAGTCTGTATAGTCATCATTTTAAAAAGATATTTATACTCTAGGGGTGGGGTAGGAGGGTGGAGGGATCCAGCAAAAAAGAGAGAGAGAGAGAGGGAAAGAACTCAGGACAGGAACAAGAGTGTGGTGACTGGAGGGGAGTGGGTGGAGGTGGAAGAGGGTATGGGGGGATAAATGGCGATGGAAACAAATGCAATTAAAAAATAATGTAACTCTGGCTGACATGGCTCAGTAGGTTGGGCATCACCCCGCAGAGCAAAAGGTTGCTGGTTCGATTCCCGATTCCTGGTCAGGGCACAGGCCTGGTTGCCGGTCGAGTCCCCATCAGAGCACACAGGACAGCCAACCAATTGATGTTTCTCTCTCACATCAATGTATCTCTCCCTCTCCCTCTCACTCCCTCCCCCCTCTCTTAGAACAAATAAATAAATATTTTTAAAATAATGTAGAAAAAAGTTTAAATAAAATATAAAAAGAGGTACTTCCCCAAGAGCGCCACACTATTTGAACCAATGATAATAAAATACAACTAAGTTGCTGGGATGCATACAGCTAAAAAAATATCATGACCAAGTTTCCACTTTAAGAAATGGAAAAAGACTTCCGCCAAGATGGAGGCATAGGTGGATGTGCCGCGCCTTCTCACACAACCAAGATTAGAGAAAACTAAATATTAGCAACAGAAAACACAGCCAGAACACGGAAAATTGAACTTTTCGGAAGTCCGTTAACAACAAATTCTTCAGCCTGACCGGTAAGGGGCGAAACCAGCGGCTGGCGGAGCGGGGTTGCACAGGAGGTCTCGGTCAGACGGACTCAGGCCTGCAGAATCCAGGCGCAGGGTCGGACCTAGTGAGCGACCCAGCGAGCGACCAGGCGAGCGACCACGGGGGAGACAGTGGGGCAGCGGGGCTGCGTGTTGACTGAGGCCGCACATTTGTGCACAGGTGGACAGGCGAGGGAGTGGGCGGTTGGACCGGGCCGGCAGGTCCCCACGGCAAGCGGCAGTGGAGGGCGCCGCCATTTCCCTGCTCTGACCCCACCTCCACATACAGCGTCATAACCCAGCGACTCTGAGTGGCCCCGCCCAGGTGAACCACCTAAGGCACTGCTCCTCCGCACCCAGCTGTGAGAAACAGCAGAGGGGGCCGCCATTTCCCCACTCTGACCATGCCCCCACATACAGCATCACAACCCAGCGACCTGGGAATCCAAGGCGCCGCTTCTCACACTTAAAGGGCCCGAACAGACCAAGAATGGCCCAGGAGGATCTAAGAGCCCCAGAGCCAATAAATCTAAGCGATGAAGAAATAGCAAAACTCACAGACGCACAGTTTAAAACATTGGTGATCAGGATCCTCACAGAACTGGTTGATTATACCGACAAATTAGACAAATATATGAAGGCAAAACTAATTGAAATGAATGGAATTGCACAGGACACCAATAGCAATGAAAAGGAAACTGGGACTCAAATCAATGGAGTGGACCAGAAGAAAGCAAATAATGGCCAAACAGAAAAGAGTCAAGAAGCAAGAATTCAAAGAAATGAGGAGAGTCTTAGGAACCTCCAGGACATCTTGAAACGCTCCAACATCCGAATTATAGGGGTACCAGAAGGGGGAAAGGCACAGCCACCAGTGGAAAACTTATCTGAACAAATAATAAAGGAGAATTTCCCCAATCTGGCAAAGGAAATAGACTTCCAGGAAATCCAGGAAGCTCAGAGAGTCCCAAAGAAGTTGGACCCAAGAAGGAACACACCAAGGCACATCATCATTACATTAGCCAAAATTAAAATGAAGGAGAGAATCCTAGAAGCAGCAAGAGCTAAGGGGACAGTCACCTACAAAGGAGTCCCCATCAGACTGTCAGTGGATTTCTCAAAAGAGACCTTACAGGCAAGAAGGGACTGGAAAGAGGTATTCCAAGTCATGAAATCCAAAGACCTACAACCAAGATTGCTCTATCCAGCAAAACTTTCATTTAGAATGGAAGGACAGATAAAGTGCTTCTCAGATAAGATCAAATTCAAGGAGTTCATCATCACCAAGCCCTTATTATATGAAATGTTAAAGGGACTTATCTAAGAAAAAAAGAAACATGAACAGTGAAAGGACAACAAACTCACAGTTATTAACAACCACACCTAAAACGAAAGCAAACTAAAAGGACAGCTAGATCAGGAGTGGAAACATAGAAATGAAGATCTCAAGGAGGGTTAGCAACAGGGGAGTGGGAGGAGGAGAAGGGGGGAAGAAGGTACAGAAAATAAGTAGCATAGACAGTAGATAGAAAATAGATGGGGGGGGCAAGAATAGCATGGGAAATATAGAATCTAAAGGACTTGAGACACATGGTCATAAACTAAAGGGGAGTAATGGTGGGGATGAGGGGTAGGGTGGAGGGGAATATAGGGGGAATAGAACAACTGTAACAGCATAATCAATAAAAAAATTAAAAAATATATAAAAAGAGAAAAAGATACTCACTTACCCTGACTATAGAATTCTAGGGTGACTTTTTCTTTCCTTTCCACGCTTAAGAAGTGCCTCTTCATTGTCTTCTGTTTCATACAGTTATTGACAAAAAGTTTGCTGTGATTTTATCTTTCTTCTTGTGTATGTCATATTTCTTTTTTCTTAGGCTGCTTTCTTAATTTTTCTTAAAAAGGAGAAATTGTCAGTTTTCAGCAGACTGACTATGATGAGCGTATAGGTGTGTTTTATTTTTACTTTGTTTGCATTTGCTTATTTAAGCTGTTTGAGGTTCTCTGAACTTATCAGATCTGTGGTTTGCTGTCGTTCATTAATTTTGGAAAATTCTTGGTCATTATCTTTCAAATGTTTCTTCTGCCCCTTCTCTATCTTCTCCTTAATATTTTCCCATGGTTTAAAATTCTAGCTTCTGTTCCCTTCTCCTGCACCCTTTTCCCTTTGGGTTTCATTTTGGATAATGTCTAGTGTACTTTCTCCAATTTCCCAGATACTTTTGTTAGCAGAAGCTAGTTTGCTGGTGATCCTATTACAAGGATTCTTCTTCTTTGATACTGTATTTTGGAAATCACCTTTTTATAGTTTCCCATCTATCTTCCAAAATATCCCATATGTTCCTGCCTACCATTGTACTGGATCTTAATATATTAGTCATGGCTATTTAGATGTTCCTGACAGGTCCTTATTGCTTAGCTATGGTCCTGTTAATTGCTTTGTCTCTTGGTGATAAGCCACCCCCACTCCCTCTCATTTTTCTTTTCTTTCTTTATTGTCATAATTTTTTAGTCAATGCTGGATATTCTGAGTAGAAGCCGATGGAGATTGAGGTAAACAGTATTATACCTGGAAACAGTCATGCCTCTTCTTCTGCTAGGCTATTACTGTGCAGGGGGGATGTTCAGTTAATCTAGTCAGTAGTCGAGCTGACATTAGTCATTACTATCATTACCCTCTCTTTACCAGCAAGCGCCACTACCTTGCACTTAGTGTGAGGAATGGGTCCCAGGGAGCTTTTCTCGGTGTTCCTACTCTGCCATTGGCTTTTCAGAAGTACCTGTACACTTGCATCATCAAGTAGGATTTCTCTCCACCGTCTTCTCGCCTTGCTGCAAGGCTGTGGTTGGAGCCATATGTTAGTCCTGCTTCTCCCCGTCCAGCCTCGGTCTTGGGCAGGAGACCTGTGTATCTGGACCTGAGAAGTGGGACCTTCTCAATGTTTCTACCCTCCTCCCCTTTCTCCCTCATGATAGCCGAACTCTGCCTTGTACCTTTGGTGGGCCTTGGGCAGAAGAGAGATGCCCGACTCTCCTCCAGTGGTAGTCTGCCTCTGCTTTGTGTTGGTGCAGGTTTGTGGACCCAGGAGGTTTCCATGACCTCTCCACCCTGTGGCCCCTTCACCAAGAGCAAATAGCTTTTGCTTCTACCCTTCCCCCTGAAGCAATAGACGTTTTCTGGGTTCCCGTTCTCGCCCAGATGCAAACAGGTTTTGCTTCTACCCCTCCCCTGATGACCCCCAGAGCAAGAAGGTCTGCTGCCCTCCCCTTCCTGGCTTAAGGCTGTTTTGCTTTCATAAGAGAAGGGCCAGATGATGGGGGTGGTGATTTGTATCTGTCCCAGCTGGTCACCTCCTGCAAACCCATACCACTAAGTGTGGGGGAGGGGCTCCCCTGGTCTCCAGTCCTACCTCTAATCTTTCTTTTGAGCACCAAGTCGATACCCATGGAGAAGAACTTGCAAGTGAACATAAACTTCCCTTGTGTCTAGGATTCTGTGTTGGTCAGGGTTCTCCAGAAAAACAGAACCAATATAAATGGCTATAGATATAGATGGACATTATCTACCTATCTATGTATCTATCTATCTATCTATCAATGATCTATCATCTATCTATAATTTATTTTAAAGAATTGGCTCATGCAATTATGCAATTACGGAGGCTGCCAAGTCCAAAAATCTGCAGGGTAGACCAGTAGGCTGAGACCCAGGGAAGAGCTGACACTGCAGCTCAAGTCTAGGAGTAGTCTGCTGGCAGAGTTCTGTCCTCTTTGGGGGACCCCAGTCTTTTTCTCTAAAGTCGTCAACTGATTGGATACGTCCCACCCACATGATAACCTGCTTTGTATTCCAAGTCTACTGATTAAAGTATTATTCCTCTCATTTAAAAAATACCTTCACAGAAACATCTAGAATATTGTTTGACCAAAGATCTGGATACTGTGCCTATCCAAATTGACTCATAAAATTAAGCATCACAGGTTCCCACTTATTCTAAGTTGATCCACTCACCCAAACTCAGCCTTCAGGAATTAGTGAACTTTAGCTGATTTTTTCTTACCCACTTCTATGGTGGTCACTTTTTCTTCCTTGCTCTGCCAAATGCAAAACAGCTTCTGTGTGTCTGTTCCCCTCAGCCGGCTTGTCTCTTTTTGCCACTTGGTTATGTGGTTGTCTCGTGATCTCAGCTCTCTGAAGGATTCAAGAAAACATGATTTTATAGATTGTTCACTTCTTCTTACAGGCAGGATGGGAGTAATATCCCTTGCAGCTCTCTACATCCCCAGGGGAAGCAGAGCTCCCGTAGATTTTTTTTTTTTTTTTTTTTTTACCATGGATGTGGTCTTGATTATTTAAAAACCACGGAGGACAGGAACTATAGTGGCAGAGTGTAGCACAAAGGTTGCGAGTTAGAGGCCCACAGATTTCACGCGAAAACCTACACTTCCAGATTATTTCGAGAGAAGTGAACATCTGCCACACTGAGTCACACACGCTGGCCTTTTCATGGGGCCAGGACTCTCGAGCTATGTCCAGTGTGCCCAGGGTGACACAGTTACCTTCCAACCTGACTCCTCCTCCTTCCCCTCGGCGCGGACCTGGGTTGGCTACTCAGTGTCCCCTTGAAACTGGGTCTGTGACAGCACTGTTCTGTGCCCGAAGCAGAACGTGGCATGTGACAACCGAATGGGTTTGATCACAGATGGTGAAGGAGACCTCTGATCTCCCTGGGAGGGAACATCATACGTCTGTTCTACCATAGCTAGGAGTCCCATGGGGCTCTGAAAAGTGGCTGCAGAACTGCATGTGTAGGCATTACAATTCCATCAGCTAAGCAACCAGGATGCTGATTCTTTGCTTCACCAGAAAGCAGGGTACCCCGTGATAGTCCCAAAGAAATCCTGGGAGGTATTATTCCCCTAGGAAGGACTGCAGGGATGTTGGGGGATTTCGGGCCCAGGCCGCGCACTTGAAGTCTGGCCTGAGCCAGAGGTGGACAAGGGTCAGCCCTCTACTCACAGGCTGGTGTCCTCCTCCCTCGGCCACATTCCACCACCAGGAAGAAAGTCACCCAGTTGTTACCAGAACCGCAGGCACTTTATCACAAGACAGAACCTGTGGATCTGTGGGTCATTGCCTCAGCTGCTGCTCCATTTCTGGGGTGCAGAGGACGGACCCCAGGACTGAACTGAATTGGGTAGAATTGTTTCCATAAGCATCTGAAAGTGTATGTCATTTAGGGAATGAAGGTAAAGGAAGCCAAGGAAGAGAACCAAGGCCCATCCATATTCAAGAAGCAACATCTTGAGACAGGTCTGAGTGGAGGGCTCTGGGCACTGATCAGGAAACGCGGCCGAGAGCTGATCGGATGACGTGTGATGGACAAGAGGGTAGATTCAGGGCCAAGAAGGGTCTGAAGGGTTTTAGGCTCCGAAGAGGGCCAGACAGCTTCACACCCTGATGCCCGCTGACAAAGCTCGGTACCTCCTAAAACCCCGTCCTTACACCAGACATACTTGCCTATCTGGGACTCCCACCAATTCTGCCAAAACAAAAAAGCTTCTGGAACATGTACAGGGTTAAAAAGGAGACAGCAGGCAAATGGAGGTTCACAAGAGCCCTTCGAACTTCACGAACAATAAGATTAATCAGTGGAAGTAGGAACTTTTAAAGAAAAGAATCAGAACTTCTTCTCTTACAAACAAAGCTTGAACCTCTTAGCAATTACAACTCTGATTGCAATGATCTTACTCAAGTGCTTGAAGAGTCATTTACTGCCAAGAACCAGCGAACCACACTTCAAATGGCGAAATTACACAGAATTCAGCTCAGGTCTAAATCGGCCCCGACAAATGCCACACACAATTTTCAGGCTGAAGTCAGAATCAGGTTTTTTTGTTCCTAGGGAGGCTGAATTTTAATTCCTAGTCACTGAAGAAAATCTGCAAAACACACAAAGTAAAGAATAAAACAAATATCCATCTTGCGTAATCCAGAGATGGTTTACATTTTTAATATTTTTAGAACTTGTTTTTTAGTGGATACCTGTTTTTCCCCTCACAAAGCAGGATTGTATTAAGTTAAAAATAGTTTCCGGCTCTTTCCATTTACTACATCAGGAACAGGTCTCCATTGCCTTAATTATTCCTTAAAACATATTTCTTACTGTTATTTCATAATACTACATTTTATGGATATGCCATCATTTATTTTAATCATTGTTTAACTGATGCTCAATTAGGTTGTTTCAATTATTTACCCTTTTAAATCCAATTCCAGTAAATATCTGTAGCTGTAATCTTTGTGCATCTCTCTGATTATTTCCTTGGGAGAAATTCTCAGAATATTAAGATTTGAGAGCTGCTCCATACTCATTTTCAAATTACTTTTCAGAATGGGCACACTTCTTTTTACTCACAGGAACGACGTGTGAGCGCAGCACTGCACCGTACTACCATTAAAAACGAGAGAAAACAAAAAACCTTTGTCCATTCGTTAATTGAAAAATGGGATCCAGCTGTTTGGTTTTGTATTTCTTTCGTTTTTAGTTGGACATTTCTTCATATGTGTATCGGATGTTTTTCTTCTATAAATTATCTTTTTGTGCCATTGACTGCTTTTCATTTTTGGGGTAAGCAACTCGCTTTAATTTTGATGCAGTGTTGCCCTAGCAGGACCCACAGGGAATCCTGAAAAGCAGCTCAGGATGCTGAAAAGCCTTTTGATTTTGAGCTCCAAGCTTCCCGAAGATCCCATTGAGGCAAAATGTAAAGGAAATAGGAGGGCTCTCTAGAGCACAGGCTCTCAAGGTGTGGCCCTTGGACTCTGCACATCAGAACAAAGGGATGGGAGAGGGGCGACAATATATTTGCAGATTCCAAAACCCCACCCCAGACAGAGTGGGCATCTCTGATACTTGGACCCAAGGACCCACATTTCTGTAATCTCTGTGTATGTTTTATTGTTCTTGAACTTTATTAATCAATTATCACTCATCTACTCAGTCCCCCAAGTTAGAAAAATTATTGCCATCCCATTTCTTGCATCCCTTACCTCCTCTCACAAATACAGTAACTTAATTTTACTAACAAATGTCTTTAAATCTCTTTTCCTCTCCTCACCACCTCTTAGTTTAGTTCTTTATTATCTTCCTCTCTTCTTTTCCCCTTTCCTGTTTATTCCACCCGTAATCTCTATCATTCCACCCTCAGAATGCACCAGATAAGGATAAGCATACATTCTAAGCAGTCCTGTGCCTGGGAGTTTCTGCTTGCTTTGCAAAAGGTTCTAGATAAAAGCCTCCCCACTGCTTCCTTTCCAATTGTTTGCAGCCCCTAAACTGTTTCTTGTTCTAGTGGAGGGGTGAGAAACTGGGGATTTTAGATGAGACTAGAGAACTCCAGGGAAGTTCAAACAAAACTGAGTAAGTAGGCCTGAAAGTGCATGAGATAGCTGTGGCCAGTATAAGATCCTGGAGGTCAACCAAATGTTAACAAGCCTACTTTCAAAGTGACAAGCCTAAGGGTGGAATGCTGAAGTGACTGAGAAGACAGGGCATGTGAGGCCATGTTGTTGAATGGGTCATCTGCAGGACCCTCAAACTGCTCACATGTATGCTGTTATTCACAAGCAGAGAGCTAGGAATACCAGCGAAAAGCTCAAAGCTCCAGTAACCTTTCTCAGTCCCTGGAAAAACAACTTAGAGCAAAGAACAAAGGGTTACTGTGTTGTTCCTCCCATGTAAAAGGAAACAATAATTTTGATGGATTTGGTGGGACATTTTGGAGCCAAGTCAAACTGTGTGTGTGAGATTGTTTTGTAAAGGTGCTAGGACTTAATTTTCAGATCTGGAATAAGAACAGGTGGTGGCTGATGGCAGGAGTCACAATGGTTGCCATGACAACGGGATTGGGTTTTAGTCATCCTCCCATCCTCCACAAAACCTTCTGCAGCTTTTCTCATAAGGTGCTTATTAAATATTTGTTAAATGAATGATGAATCACGGAATGGTGTATGCACTTTGCAATTAAGGCTGCCGTTCTCTAGCTAGCTAAAAGCTTTTAAAGCAACCCTAATTACTGTATTTACACATGATATTTTGCATAATTTGCATATTAACTTAACCTGAAAATAATAAATTACAGATTCCTATCCCTGCTGAACAATCCTATCCCATGTCTGTTCCCTATGGTGGAAGCAGTAGTCCAGATGTTTAAAATACTCTTAAGGCGGTGGTGGGGTGATGGTGGCGTGCGTTTGTGTGTACGCCCTGTACCGTATTTGTTTCACTACATCATTTGTTTGCCGTAGCACCACTATCCCCTCCCCACTTTCGAGCCCCTCCCCCACTCGGAGATCTGCGCAGCAGTCCCAGCGCAGGAGCCAGCCTACCCCTCCCCCGCCCCCTCTTTCCGCGCTAATGCTATAGCCGTTGGGGCCCTGCAAAGAGCACAAAAGACCTCGGCCGCCAGCGTCCCGCGTTGCCCTTAACAACCATTGAGCCGAGTCCTGTCTACGGTGACCTTGCGAAGAAGTAGTAAACACGGTTTGCATTGGCTGGCCCGGGACAGCTGACCAATGGGAGAAGAGGTTGTAGGGAGGCGGCTGAGCGATGTAGAGGGGGGTAGGAAGCTAGGGTTAGAGGCAACCGGTGAGGCTAGAACCCTGAGCGTGGTCGTTTGGAGCAAATATGTCTGTCCGGAGGCACATTGGGAATCCAGAGGTGAGGGCCAGGTCTGGATCGGAGAGGCGGAGGGGGCGGGCGCACCGGAAAAGGCTCCACGTGGGCAGGGAAGAGCAGCCGGCGACTTCCGCCGCCCGGAAGGCGGGAAGCGGCCGGCGTGAGGAGGGGTCTGGAGGGAGGCGGGGCTGGCCTGGGGCGATGCAGGGCCTTGTCCGACCTCCTGCGCGGAGGGGCCGCCATCCGGCACGTGCTTAGTGTACACAGGTATTTGTCGCCCAGAGGAGCTAAGTGCATAAAGACACAGCCCCTTCCCTCAAAGGGCTTATAGTCTAGGAGCAGCAGATACAAAATAAGTTACATACGATGAAAGCCCTGGAACACTAAAGGAGCAAAATTAAACAGCCACCATTTCTTAGTATGGGGGTACAGAAAGAACAGGAATAAGCAGATCAAGCCTTTGGGAAAAGATGCAAAATATGACATTTGTTTTACTCCCACCCCATAGGACTGTTTACTTTGTTGTCTGTACCACTCCTAGTGCCCTGCCGCATTTGTGTTCATTTAATTTACACTAGTGCTTACTGCCCACCCGCCACCTTGCCATAGGCGCTAGAAACACAAAGAAAGTAAGTCAAGGCCGTTGTCCTTAAGTAAATTCAGTCTAGTGGGGAAAGCTTGTAAACAGAATTTGAATGCAATGTGCTTGAGGAACAAGACGTTGAGAGGGCACAGATGAAAGAGAACCCAGTTTAGGGAGGGGGGATCCTGGAAATGGCCTAAAATGGCACTATTAGGAGCCACATGAGATGCACTACAGACAGGACTACTTGAGTCAAGTTGAGGTGTGAGCCATGGGAGGAGCAGTGCCCTGTGCAGCAGGTGGTGGGAGTGAAGTCTGCAAGGGCCTCCTGTGCCTTGTGAAAGCTGGCCATTCTACTGAACAGGAGTTATAAGCTGTTTCGGCTGGTCATGATGGATGCCTGTGAGCTCTGTTGAGAAAGTCCTGAGGCTGAGTTTGGGATCTGCAGGAGGGTGCCATGATAGATTATAATCTCTACTATGGAGGTCTGGGAGGCAGGTGTGGAGAGCGAGACAAACTGCCACATATTTATCTTGTCTGCTGTTCAGAACTTGAAGCTTTTGAAGGGGTTTAATCTGATGTGGTCAGATTTGCATTTTAGGCGTGTGGTTAAGACACATTGTGGAGAGCAGATTTGAGGAGCCCCAGACTGGAGATAAGGAAATTGGTCGGGCGATTATTATGTTACAAACCTAAAGGAAGTCCACAGAAGAAGGGACAGAACTGAGAAATATTTAGGGGGTAAAATCATCAGGACTTAATGATCAGCCTGGAGAAGTGAAAGAGGGATGGATGACTTAGGATCTCAGCGTGGGCCACTAGTCGTTGGTGGTGATACCATGCTAATGAAATAAGGAATATGGGTGAGAGAGAACTGTAGGGAGGAGCAGGGATGTGTGATTATACATTTGCCTCCAACTGAAGATGTCCAGCTTACTGTCTTCATTTATTGGAGCACAGTTTCCTGTAGTCTTGAGAAAGAGTGCATTAAAAATAAATGTTTTTATGTATGTCTAAAAATATTACTCTACCTTAGTATTTATTTGCCTGAGAGTTTGGTTGAGGATAGAATTCTTGGTTGGAAATCATCAGCATTTTGAACATTGTAGTCTTTTAGCATCCAGGGTTCTGTGGAGAAGTCCAAAGCCGTTTTCTTCCTTTGTATGCAACTTGCGGTTTCCTTTCTGGAAGCTTGTAGAATCTTCTCTTTGTCCTACGTGTTAGGATCTTTCATAAAGATATTCCTTGCTTTGAGTCTATTTTCACCCCTGTCAGTGGGACCCAGAAACTCAAGTTTGTTTGTTCTCTGATTTTTTTTTTAATTACTGTTAAGTTTTCTCCTTCCCATTTTCTTCATTCTATCTCTCTTGAACTCATTATCCTGATGTTGCTTCTACATAACTGGCTCTCCATCTTTTTAAAATTTTGTCTCCTATTTCCCACATCTTTGTCATTTTGCCCTTTTTGGGATAGTTGTTTAACTTTATCTTCCAGTCCTCTTATTGAGTTTTTAATTTCTGCCATCATGTTTTTAATTTGTAAGAGCGCTTTGTTTTAGACTCTGATGTCCCTTTTAGAAACTTTTATTTTGAAATAAATATAGAGTCTCAGAAATTCACGAAAATAGTACAAAGTCATCCCATATGCCCTTTATTCAGATTCTCCCAGTCATAATTTTTTACATAAGTATAATACAATATCAAACCAGAAAATTGGCATTTATACATTGCATGTGTAGTTCTAGGCCTTTTTATCATGTGTAGTTTTAATATAATCAAGATTTGCATATGTGTAGATTTTGCAATCAAGATAGAGAACTATTCTGTCACTACAGTATCTCCTGGCAACCACTAATGTGTTCTCCATTTCTGCAGTTTTGTCATTCTGAGAATATTACATAAATGGAATCAAACAGTATGTGACCTTTTAAGACTGGCTTTTTCTCACCAGGATAATGCATCCAAGTTGTTGCCTGTAGCAACGGTTCATTCCTCTTTATTGCTGATTAGTATTCTGTGGTGTGGATGCATAACAGTTTGTTTAACCATTCAATGATTGTGGGACATTTGGTTGCTTTCAGTTTGGGGCTATTACAAATAAAGGTATGGACTTTGGGATACCGTTATTTGTGTGATTTAACTTTCATTTCTCTGGGATAGATGCCTAGGAAAACAGTTGCTGTGCTGAATGGTAAGTTTACATTTAGTTTTTTTAGAAATCGTCTGAATATCTACAACAATGGTATATACCGCATTCCATGGTCTAGATATGGAGTGGGCTGCGGCATCTAGTTTTGTGTAAGTACATTTTACAATCAATGTCTGCACGATGCTGAAACCACCTAACTGCATTTCTCAGAATGTACACTCGTCATTAAGTGGCACACACCTGTGCACGGTTTTGTATGGACTTGTGTTCCCTTTTCTCTAACAGTGTTTTTAAATATTTTTTCCCCTGCATAGTCTGTTTCCCCCAAACTGCTATTTTTCTTTTTGTTTTGTTGGAGATGTTTGTATTAGTAAGCTTGAGCTGTCATAGCAAAATACCACAGATTGGGTGGCTTACACAACACAGTTTTTTCTCATACTTTGGGCTGCTGGAAAGGTCAAGGTCAAAGTGCTGGCCTGTTTGGTTTCTGGCAAGAGCTCTCCCCTGGCTTACAGATGTGCTCACATAATGTTTCTGCGCACGTGTGGAAAAGGAACAGGCTGTCTGATGTCTCTTTTTATAAGAACATCAACCCTGTTGGACTTGTGCCCCACCCATGCGACCTCATTTAGAGGTCATTAAAGTTGCCTTTAGAGGCAACTCGAATTGCCTCTAAAGGCCCTATCTCCAAACATAGTTCCGTTGGGGACCGAGGCTTCAATGTATGACTTTGGGGGGCACAATTCAGTCTATAACAATGTTCTCAGACTTCTTTTATTCCTCAATTGTTAATTTATGTTTTCATGTAGGAGACTTGTAAATGGTATTGGGATCTTCATATTCTTGGGAGGGGCTTGGTTCTAATGAGCTTAACTGCAGGAAGATCTCACTGAGCCATCATTGGGGGACTCCCTCTCCCAGTGTTCCTTCCCTGCATCTCTTTTCTCTCAGGCTATTCCTGTACCTCAGAGCACCCCACTCTCCTGAGAGTAAAAGCCTAGTTGAATTCCTGGAGGAATTAGGGCTGGGGCTAAGTCTCAACACTGGTATGCATCATTTACTTAATCCCCCTGTTTTCAGGAATGTATCTCTGCCTTTCCCTGAGTCTGGAGACCTCCCAGTCCAGAAATCCTTTTCAGGGAATAAAGCTACAGATATGTGCCATGGTGGGGGAGAGGCAGCCACCCCACGGCACCAAGGGGAGGAGGTTTTGGAGATCCAGTCGCTTCTCAATCAGTCTTTGACCAGTCTTCCTCATTTCAGCTACTCCTTTTATACCGCCCTTTAGGGGTGTCTGGCCCTCTCAATTCCTAAGCTTTTTAAGAAGTGTTCTTGGCTTTCCCTTTAAGTCCATCGAGCCATTTTCACTTGTTAGTGTGTTCAGTTCTAGATTTCAGAAATCTATTGCTATCACTTCTCCTATTCTGTGTTTGGAGCATTATGTCTCTAAAATAATGTCCTTCCAATGAGGTTTTATTGAGGTTTTGAAAGGAAGTAAAATTAGATGCACTTGTTCAATGTGCTGTCTTCAGCTAGTAGGTCATGGTCCATAATTCTTTTATTTGCTAGTTTATTTCTGGCGCACTTACAGGAACAAAAGGTAGGGTCCTTGTCTGCATTGTCCCACTGCCTGGCACACGACAGTTGTTCCTCAAATATTTGTTGAATGAGTAAATGAATATATGTCCAAGCTGGGGGATGTCAAAGCTGGCGTTCTCTATTGAGACATCAGAAGCTTATAAATGGAATTAAACCTACATGTTTGGTCCGCAGAGAACCTATAGATTGCGAAGACAGAATCCAAGCAACCCAGGATCATGGGTCAAAGTTGTTATTTGATATCAGTAGAATTTCAATCAGATTCAGTAGAATCAGATTAAAATTTCCATTAAAGAAAAATGTTCTTTAAAAGACCGATTTTAAATGTGAGATTGCCTTACATGAAACTTTCAAAATTGACATCTACTCCCTTCATTTTATGGAATTCCTCTCTACAAAGGAAGTGAGTAGAAAAATTCTGAACAAAAATGTATAATGATATTTTTAAAAATCTTTAAAATGTAAATCTTTGTATGTTGTGATGGAAACGTGAACAACCTTGCGATGTCCATTTTAAGAGAGGTGGAAAGTCAGAAAATCGCATCCATTTTTTAGTGATTTGTGATTCAGACAGTCTCACTCAATTTTTTGGTGATTTTCTTTCAGGAAAATCCCATTGTCAGCTTCCCATTTTCTTTCTTCTTCTCCAACATCCATGTATTTCACAAAACCCAGTCTTATTTGCGTATGTCAGTGATCTGCCAAACACTCCTGATTGTGTGGCCCACACAATGTGGGCCTCAGTATGTTTAGTTCCATCCATTTTCTTCAGGGCCTCGTCCATTCAGAGTTCTCCACTGGGAGTTTGCCTATCCACGTCCAGCCTTACACCACAGGATTCCATACACCCGTGGTTTTGGGGTGGTGGGGGGCGGAGGTTATAAACTCCTTTGAAAACTTGCTGAAAGCCAAGGACCCTTTCCCCAGAAGCTTGCATGACAGTTTCATAGGACTCATGAACCTCCTAAAACCCATCATTGGACCCCCTATTCAGAACTCATGCCAGAATGGGGCTGCAGCAGGGTGTGGGAGAGTTGAGGCTCTAGAGCCAGACCGCCCGGCTCAAATCCAGCCTCCACTCCTCCTGGAAGCTCCTCAGTGAGCCTCTCCACCTCTCTGTTGCTCTGTCTCCTGATATGTAAGGTGAGGATAATAGCATTCACCTCACGGGTGGTTGTGAAGATAAGTAAGACAATGAGGGTGGATGCTTAGGGAGTGCCCGACAACACAGTGGAGTGCTCCGCAGACATTGGCAATGATCACCTTTGCTATTGTTGCTCTTGTTCTTGGACCTTCTCCAGCAAATCAAACAGCAAATGTGCCATTCTCTACACATGCTTTTAAAGATGGTTTGCTGTTAAAATTTTCTCCACGTGGAATACTTTTCTCATCCTTTCCCCCCATCTTTTTATTCATAGAAGCTCAACCCTTAAAACACAGTCTCAGTGCTTTTTTTTTTTTTCCACAAATTTGCCCTTTTCACCCTCAGTGTGTGAGCTGTTTCTTGGTTTCACACTCCGAGAGCCCTCACTGTCTGTGCTGCCCACGTGGCATGAGCATACACACTGAACGTGGCTCAGGTCTCAGGACCGTCTTCTCATGTGGCAGTCCTTGCTGCTGTCACACTAGGGCCAGGCCTTGTAGCAGCCATAGAGATCTACAAGGTGGAGCCCAGGTCCAAAGTCCGAGGAATGAGGAGTGCAAATGGTACCGAGTGCGGTGGCAGTCGGGGCCAGGAAGACTTCTGTTGGACCGCAGCCTCCAGAACAGTCTTCCTGGAAGATGAGTTTGTGCTGGTTCTTGAAATGGAACTTAAGTAGCTAGGGTGGCGTGGCTGGTCAGGGCATTATCTTTTGACTATCCTAAAGTGTAAGCTCTCAGAAGGGTCTCTGGCGGCCTGTAGTCTACCACAAACATGAACTTGCTCAGTGTCCCCTGATGAGAACTTCATCATGACCGCCTAGCTTAGATCTTTATCTTAAATACTGTGTTTCCACCGCTGACTCATCCAACCTGGGCTCTGGATCTCATCCTCTTCCCTGTTTCCATCCCTACCTTCCTGCTTCGTTTTCAAACCTTTCTTATCTAGTCCATTAGCTGATAAACATCGTCAAATCTCTCCTTTCTTTCAAAACAAAATAACAGCAAAAACCATTCCCTGGCAACCCTCAAGGGGGAAAAAAAAGACCATCTGGCTACTGTTGACTTCTTCCCGGCCACGTCCCTTCTCATACACCCAGCCTGCTGTTTTCGCCTCTGCTCCCGGCAGTTTATCGTCACTGCAGCCACCAGGGTCGTCAGCAATGTCCTGGTTTACTCAATCCAAATCCACTTTCCTGTTGTTCTCTTACTTGACTAGCATTCTCATTTGCTGACTAGACAGCGCTTATCTCTTAGGACCACTCTGTTCTTCCCGAAACTTGAATTTCCGTGACCCACTTTCCTCTTGCCTCTTGTGAGTCTCATCCTCGACGCTTTTCTCCACCCGGCCTTAAATGGCGGGGTTTTTCTTCTCAGGCCTCACACTCTCCGAAAGCGACCTATTCATTCCAACGGCTTCCCCTGCTGCCTCTATGCTGACAACCCCCAATTCTTGTGTTTTTCTTGCCCAGACCTCTCCTGACCTCCAGACCCAAACAGCCAGCTCGCCACGTCCATTTGGGATAACCCACAGACATCTGCTGTTCAACATGCCCCGAGTGGAACACATCGTGGCTTTCAGTGTTTGCTCCTTCCTGAAGTCCCTTGTTGGGGGAATGGTGTCACCATCCTCCCCCTGTTACGCCAGTGAGTTTTAAGTAATTTATTTTACATCTTAAACATTTCTTGACAGTGTCTCTTTCCCCTCATCTCTACTGCGACTTCCTTAGGACACAGATCCTCTTAGCCCAATGCCTCTTAACTCATCTTTGGGTATCCATTTTTTAAATTGATTTGAGAGAGAGAGAGAAACATCAATTCATTACTCCACTTATTTATGCATTTACACATTCATTGGTTGATTCTCATATGTGCCCTGACCCGTGATCGATCCACAGTCTTGGCATATGGGAAGGACACTCTAACCAATGAAGCTACGCAGCCAGGATGCGTGTGTCCATCTTGACTGTGACCCTAAAAGCTGCCAGAGTGCTGCCAGAGGGGTTCTTCTCAAATGGAAATACACTCTCATAACTCCTCAAACTGTCTTCCCTGACTTCCCATTGCCCACACTGGGGTTTTTCAACTTCAGCACTATTGACATTTGGGGCCAGCTACTTCCTTGTTATGAGGACTGTCCTGTCATTGTAAGATGTTTAGTAGCATCCTGGCCTCTACTCACTAGGTGCCAGTGGCCCACCCACCACCCAGTTCTGACAACCTACAATGTCTCCAAACATTGACACTGCCCTTTGGGGACGGGAGGGGGGAAATAGCCCCTGTGTGAGAACCAGTTATCTACAGGATAAAATCCAGAGTTCTTAGCATGGATACAACACCCTCAGGAGTTGCTCCTCTCTGTCCCTCCAAGCTCATTTGACCCCGCATTGCCCCCTTTGGGGACAAGTCAAAGAGCCTGTAGTAATACCACAGACAGGCCCCTTCTCAGCATCTCCGTCCACCAGTTCCCAGGAACCTGGTAGCACCCACCCAGTACGCCTTTAGCTTGGCCAACTAACCTGGCCCTCGATTTCAGCTGAGAAGTCACCCTCGGGGAATGGCCCTTGCCTCCTTTGGTCTGACTTAGGGGCCAATCTTACAGGCTCCTGTCATGTCCTCTGCTTCCCTCTCCTTGTTTATCAATGTGTCACCTCTTTGTTCACTTGACTTTCTTTCCAGTATCAGCAAGAGCCGGACAGCTAAGGCTTTTGTACCTCTGTGCCCTCAGCACAGTGGCTTGCTCCTAGAAGGCACCAGTAAATGTCCCCTGAGTGAACAGTTGGCGCCCAGTAAGGCTTTGTTGAATGAACAGTTTTCCTTGAAATAGCTTCTTTCTCAGTTCTTTCACTTTCCACCATCCCATCCTGTTTATGTAATTGAAAAAAAAGAAAGCCAGTTGGTCAGTAGGTCAAGAAACAGTCACCCGAAAGCAAGAATTTTAATGAAAAAAGTATGGCAGTTCCATAAAACCTCCGGCTCTGCTTAGAGCGGAGCAAGAATAGTTTCACGTCTCAGCTGGTACTAGAAAGTCAGGAACGAGAAGTTGGACCCAAACGGGAAAGAAACTCTCCATTTTCCTACTGCAGCATATGGATTTCTCGTTAGTCTGTGTAAGGGAAAACCAGGGGCGGGGTGGGCTCAGCGGCCACAGCTGTCGGCACTCCCCCCGAGGTTCTGCCGCCGCCACACCTGGTCCCCAGGGACACCCTCACTCCCCAGCTGTGTTGGCGTAGGTACGGGGACACAAATCCCCTCGGTTCAGCAGAGACTGGCCTGGAATTTCTCAAAAGAAGCTTTGCTAGGCAACTCTGAGAAAAACAAAACAAAAGTAAAAACAGGAAATAGCATATAGAAATTGTAAAAATACAGAGAGCAAAATAGGAGAGAGAAAATTTCTAGTCTAAGATAACTGAATTCTAATATTAGCTTCTCTTGACTCAATTTACCAGGAATGTGTTCCCTGGTTTTTTGTTTGCTTTTTGTTTTTCGTTTTATTTTTGCTATGCTATTGCCTTCCTCTGGGAAGTCCCCCTTTTTAATCTTTGAATGTTTTCTTTCACTTAAGAATCTTCATCTCCATCTAGGAAGGAGCTGAAATTGGCATTAGAGGCTTTTCCTTCTAGACAGCAGGTTACTGATCAGGTGGAGACACCCCTCTCTCAGGATAGAACCGCCCCGGGACCCCCCCCACACACACACATCTGAACACCAGTGCTAAGCATCCATGGCCAAGTTCTACTTACCTGGCATGAAATAAAAAAAACATCAGTAATGTCAGTGAGTTTTTAAATAAATACCAAAGAGCCAACCTTTTTATTCTGAGATTTTTTTCCTTTCATTTTAAACACTAAAATAGCACATGGCAGTTGTGAATAGTTAACTAAATGCCGCAGTTACCTGTGTTTTTCATGGGCAAGTGATGTGGGTTTCAAGTTTGACGGGCTCGTCTAAGGGACTGCCCTAGACGGCTGTGGCTGTAATGCCGTCCTCGTCCGAGGTGTCCACTTAATGATCGAGTATCAGTCCAGTTACCTACCCAGGGTGCATACAAATTTGAGTGAGTTATCATTCCTGCCTTCGAGGAAATCCTAGACTAGAGAAGAAGGTTGAGATGTAAACACTGGTACAGGGTGTCCGTGTTCTGGAACCAAGCAGGAAAAGACAGTCCCCTGTTCCACCTGGGACAGCTTACAGAGGGAGCAAAGTTTTGCCCAAGGACAGGTTGAGAAAAGGCACACGTTTGCTGTGACTGGAGGTCTGAATACATGTGGCACATTTGCGGGAACATCCGGGCAACTTGGACCTGGGACCCTGTGGGTGAGTGGCAGAAGATGAGGCCAGGAAGTTGTTACCCAGATTTAATTTCCTATTCCACAGCTACCGGTCACCGAATGTAGGGTTTTCATACTTGTAGGCCAGAAGAAAGCCTGGCAAGAAATCTGTATTTTGTCATGTCTTTATTCATTAGCCTTCCCTCACTTAATGGCTTTTGAAAATGCCACTAAAATTCAGTGTGGGTAAATGTCCTGAGCTTGGATTCAGAGTTCACTGGGAGAGTCCAGGACCGGGAAGACCTAGGATAGGCATTTTTGCTGACCATAAACTTACCCCGAGGAGCCCGTGATGTGCCCCGATGGCACCATGAGCAGATGCCGTCCTGCTGACAACTGGGGAGCCTCAGGCAGCGGGAGAGGCCTGCCAGTCCCAGTCCTGGCCTCACATCACCTGGGCCCTGTGCTCAGGTCGGGCTGGATCCACACGCTACTTTTTTAGGGGAGACGTGGATAAAATCTAGAGGGACTCTTGAGGGGATGGCCTGTAAACCATCAAACAAAGTGAACCTGAAAGGGAGGATGGGGGAGCTGCCCCAGTTATCTCAACTGGTTTCAGAGGCAGAGTCGGGTGCTTATTCTGGGTTGTAGCCGTGGACTGGATGGAAATGAGTGCCCAATTTTGGCTCAGTGTCAGAAATAATTCTTAAGAGCTTTCTTCCTAGTCCTTTTTTAACGTACTGCTATGAGAGTATTTTGACAAAAATGGAAATGTTTTGACAAACAAGGTAACGCACTTTACCCGTAGAGATGCTGTGGCAAACAGTCCTGTATTCCTGTGTTGAAGGGATTGCTGGACCTCTTGAGCTCTTTGCAGCTTTAAATTCATTGAAACTTGAGCATTTGTTCTATTTTTTTTTTTAAGCATCTGACTCTTTCCCCACTTTGCCACCCTTATTCTTACATTAACCCAATTTATTGTGAATTTTTTAATTTTTTTTAGTATCTGACCAAAAGGATACCACAAAACCCAAAGTATCAGCATATCAAGTCAAGACTGGACACAGGTGAGTAAAGATTAGAAAGTTAAAACTTTAAAAAAAAATCCAGTAACTAATATTGACAAGAAGCAGCATGTCATAAGTGGTACAAATCACAGGTAAAAGTTTCTCACTGTCTTGGTTGGTGCTTTTCTGGGCTCAGGGACTTATCTTTGAAACCTGTTTGTCAGATTATCAGTTAAAGTATCCATTTACCGAATTAGCTTATTATAAATTGATAAATTGGCTAAAACATTGTTCAATAAGTTGCAGGACTAAAGCTAATAAGTAACAGGTGGTCAACCTCTGTTTGGGGACACCTTGAGTATAGTCCTTTAAACAGGGACTAATAGATTATGCTTGTGTGTCTTTGTTCAATTCAGTATTTGCTGAGCTCTGGCTACATGCAAAGTTATGGCCTATGGGACTATAAAGATGAGTGTGAATCGTGATTTTTGCAATCAAAGCGCTTAGATTCAAGTGGAGGCAGACAGACTTGAATGAGTAACTGGAATACCAGACAAAATTAAATTAGTGCTGCAATTCAGGTAAAATGAAATTTGAGTGCTCACTGCTGATTTCCATGCTGTTAACATTTTTCACCAGGCCCCTAGTGTATTTGCAGCCTTATGAGGTTTTGGTTATTTATTTGTTCAGTTTTTTTTCAAACTTTCAGAGCCTGCTGCAGAAAACCCATCCTGTTAAGATGGTTTCACTAGTAGACTGGGGTACGGCACACCTTTAGCAATACTGAATAATCCACCAGTAACCTGAACACAGCTGAGAAAATAAATTGGGATGTTGACTTTGTTTAAATCTCACTCATTTCGTCTTTGTCTTTCTCCAGGCTTCTACTATACATGTTGTAAGACTATATTATAAAATAGTCTTATAAATGTTTTAAATGCACTACATTTGCAGATATCATTTTTCTCAAACATTTCCATGCTGTTCAGATATGTCCTTACAAATATCCTGTATATAATGGCAGGTAAAAATATTATCTGTTTTGGAGGAGGAGGAAACTGGGGCACAGAGGGTGTGTGATTTACCTGAGGTTCAGTACAGGAGATAGAACTAGCATTGGTATGCGGGATGAGGAAGCCGATGTCAGAGACTTGGTGTGAAGTCCTGGGTACGCACATCTCTTACTTGGTGCTGTGTCCCGTCTCTCAGTCCTGTGCAGTGTCCTGACACTTCCCAGCCCCAGTGACCACGAAAGCCTTCAACTCATCCGACTCTACCTGTGCTCTTGAAACCATCGCCCTCCCTTCTGAAATAAGCCATTCCGTGAGGGAAGCACTTTGACCAAAAAATGCCATGTTTTCTCTGAGGAGTCCAGATAGCATTTTAAAAACTATTAGAAAGGAATACATTTCTTTTGGAACCTTCTGAAATGTTTTTCAAATATATAGATTTGTCTGTAGCTTCATAATTTTGTCTCCTGGAAGTTGAATTGGGATTTGTGAATGGAAATCCATTTCTCAATTCATGACCAAAGTTTGACTCAATATAATAGAACCTGAAATTAATTTCAGTTTTTCAAATTGAAATACTTATATCTTTTTTAAAATAATCAGAGCAATAACCTATATCTTTTTATATACTGAGGTTTTTAAGGTAGTATTTTTCTAGTTACACTTTTTATTATTTTAATTTTATTTATTTTTTTAAAGATTTCATTTATTTACTTTTAGAGGGGAAGGGAGGGAGAAAGAGAAACATCAATGTGTAGGAGAAATACCGGTCAGCTATCTCTTGCCTGGACAAGGGACCGAACCCACAACCCAGTCATGTGCCCTGACCAGGAATCGGAGCAGTGACCTTTCACTGTGTAGGACAGACGACGCCCAAGCAGCTGAGCCACACTGGCCAGGGCTAAACTTTTTATTTTGAGGTAATTATAGATTCCTGTGGAATTGTAAGAAATGATACAGAGAGATTCCATGTACACTTCACCCAGTTTCCCACAGTAACATCTTAACAAAACGATACTGCAAACTTGCAGCCAGGACATTGACATTGATGCATATGGTCTAAATACAGAACATTTCCATCATCACAAGGATCTCCACTGCTGCGCTTTGAAAGCCACATCCTCTTTCCACCCTCCCCCTCCTTAACCCCGACAACCACTAATCTGTTCTCCATTTCTATAATGGTGTCGTTTCACAAACGCTGTATAAATGGAATCAGTCATACAGTATGCAACTTTCTGGGTTGACTTTTTTGCTCAGCATAATTCTCTGGAGATCAACCCAAGTTGTTGCGTGTACTAATAGTCTGTCCTCTGCGTTACTGAGTGGTTCTACCACGGTAGTTACACTGCAGGTACGCTACAGTGGAACCAGTTGCCTGTTGAAGGACATCTGGATTGTTTCCACCTTCTGACTCTTACAAGTAAAATTGCTATATATACACTTGTGTACAGATTTGTGTGTGAATATAAGTCTTCATTTCTCTGGGATAAATGCCCAGAAGTACAATTGCTGGGTGGCATGGTAGTTGCATTTGTCTTGTTTTAAGAAATTGCCGGACTCTCCCCCAGCAAGGCTGGACCACGTTGTGGTCCCACCAGCAAAAGATGAGCGGTCTCCACATCCTCTCCAGCATTTGCTGGGTGGCGTGGCCACTTTTTATTTTAGCCACTCCAATAAATACATAGTAGCATATCACGGCAGCTGTGATTTGCGTTTCCCTGTGATCTGGACTGTTTCTTCATGTGTTTATTTGCTGCGTGTGTCTTCAGTGAAATAACCTGTTCTTACCTTTCGCCTGTGTTCTAATAGAATCGTTTGCTTTTTTAAGTGGGGAGTGTTGAGCGTTCCTTATATATTCCAGCCACTAGTCCTTTGTTGGATACGTGGCTTGCAAATATTTTTCTTGCACTATATTCGTCCTCCTAGCAGGGTCTTTCTTAAAGCAAAAATTTTTCATTTTGATCAAGTCCAGTCTTAGTGTTTCCTTTAATGGATCATGCTTTGTCATCGGATCTAAGAACTTCTCGCCTAGCCTGTATCCCAAAGACCTTCTATAATAATTTTTCCTAGAAGTTTTAAGTTTTACATTTCAGTTCATGATACATTTTGAAGTAATTTCTGTGTAAGATGTGCGACTTACGTTGAGATTAACTTTTGCTTATGGGTGTTCAGTTGCCCCAGCACCAGTGGGTAAGAAGATGATCTTTCCTCCATTGAATTGCTTATTCGTCTTCGTCAGAAACCAGTTGGGCATGTTTCTGTGGATCTATTTCCGGGTTCTCCGTTCCATTCCATTCATCTGTGTGTCTGTCCCTCCGCCAGCACCATGCAGTCTTGATTACTGTAGCTATGTGGTAGGTTCGATCCTTAAACTTGGTTCGACTGGTAACTCCCACTTCACTTTTCTATCCATTTGGGGAGCACTGACATCTTACTATGTTGAATCTTCCAACTCATTGACATACTGTGTCTCTCCATTTATTTAGATCTTCTTTGGTTTATTTCCTCAGCATTGTAGAGTTTTCAGGATATAAGAACTGTACCTGTTCTGTTAGATTTACACCTAAGTATTTCATTTTTTGAGCAGTCATAAATGACACTATATTTTCAATTTTGGTGTCTATGGGTTTTTGCTGTTATATATAAATACAGCTTACTTTTCTATATTTTGTATCCCAGGCCTTGCCAGACTCACTCTGTAGGTATAGGAGGCATTTGGTTTGGGGGCAGGGGTGTTTCTGCAGGTTCCCCGGGTTTCCCTTTGGAGACAGACATGCCATCTACAAAAAGGAACAGTTTATTTCTTCCTTTCCAGCCTGTATGCTTTTTCTTTTCTTTTATTGCCTTATTGCACTGGCTAGAACTGCCAGAAAACTATGTCAAATGAAAGTAAAGAAAGTGAACATCCTTGTCTTTTTCCAGGCCTCAGGGGGAAAGTTTTTAGTCTTTCATCATTAAGTGTAATGTTAGCTATTATATCAGGTTGAGGAAGTTCCCTCCTATTGCTATTTTCCTGAGCATTTCTAACACGAATGACTTTTGAATTTTATTAAATGCTTTTAATGCCTCAATGAAAATAAGCATGTTTTTTTTCTTTAACTTGTTAATATAGTAGATTTTCAAATATGTACTAGTTTTGTATCCATGGCATAAACCTCACTTAGTTATGGTATATAGTTCTTGTTATGTATCGCTAAAGTCTATTTATTTCTTTTGTTAAAGATTTTTGTGTCTGTATTCATGGGGGTCATTGGTTTGAGGGGTGTCCAACCTGCAGCCCACAGGCCGCACGCAGCCCAGGATCACTGTAAATGCGGCCCAACACAAAATCGGAAATTTACTTAAAACATTATGAGATGTTTTTGTGATTACGTGTCGCAGTGTATTTAACACGTGGCCCAAGACAACTCTCCTTTTTCCAGGGTGGCACAGAGACGCCAAAAGGCCGGACCGCCTGGGTAGTTTTTTTGTTTTGTTTTGTTTGTTTTATTGTCTTTGCCTGGTTTTTGTATTAGGGTAATACCAGCCTCATAAAATTAGTTGAGAAGTTTTTTTTCCTGTCGTGTTTTTTTCTGTAAGAGTTGTGTATTATTAGTGTTAATTCTTTCTTAAACATTTGGAAGAATTCTCCATTAAACCTACCTGAGCCTGGAGAGTTCTTTTTTTGAGAGTTTTGAAAGTTTAAATTCAATGTTTTAATAGTTATGGGGATATTCTAGTTATTTGTCTCATAATTGGGCGAGTTGTCATAGTTTGTGTCTTTTGAGGAATTAGTACCTTTATGCAAGCTTTCGAATTTATGTGTGTAGAGTGGTTTTTAGTGTTCTCTCGTTACCCTTCTGACAGCTGTAGTGTCCCAAGTGGCAGGCCCTTTCCTTCCTGATTTTGGTCATTTGTGTCCTTTCCCTTTTTTTTTTTCTTTACTTCAGGTTTGTCCAGTGTATTGACCCTTTCAAAGAACCAGCCATTGGTTCCATCAATTTTCTCTATTGCTTTTCTGTGTTAAATTTCATTGGTTTTTGCTTTTATCTTTATTATTTCCTTCCT